CCCCCGCCCCCGTCTCCCGCTCGCGCCTTTGTGTCCCTGCCTGCGCCGCGTCCCTGGCGCCCGGCCCCGCTCCGGGAGCCCTTGTGTCCTTGTCACATTCCCGGGCTCGGGGGAACCATGGTGGGACAAGAGCACCACAGTCCCCACGCGCCTGCGTGGATCCCGCCAGGGGTTGGCATCCACCAGCAGCCCCCGGCCTGGGAACTGCTGGGAAACTGGAGTCCAGGAAGGAGGATTTCCACCTCCTCCAGGCCGCCCCCGGCGCTCTTGGGATCGACTTTGGTGTTGGGAAGAGGCCGTCTGCAGCCAAGGATGAGCTGCCAAAGCCAAGCGTGTGTTTCTGCTCTGATCTTGCTCTCGCTGGTGGGAACTGAATACTCTGCCCTGTCCTGGGGGGGATGTGCACACCCACGCGGAAACCTAAAACCCGGGCGGCTTTCCAGGCCCCGACCCCTCAGCCGAGAAAGGGGCCGGAAAGAAAGGGATGTGGGAGCAGCGGGGCGAGCGGCCGGCGCCGCCCGGCTCTCCTGGCTGGATCTGCTCCTGCACCAAGCAGTTCCCGCCCTGGTGAGGTGGGCTGGGGGCAAATAGGAAAGGAAGGTAAAAAAATAATAATAGGAAAGGGAGGTAAATAGGAAAGGTCGTGCGGAGGGAGCACGGCCTGGCTTTACCCTGCCAGCGGCCCACACAGATGCCCACTCTGCCTGCTCCGGCTCCCAGCAGATCCCACTGCTCCATGCGGGCTTTGGAGCTGCAGGGAGACCGTGCACTCTCTGCGGGAGGAAGAGCCGCCCGCAAACACTGCCTGGCTACAGGGAACACCGGCTACGGATCTTCCTCCTCCCAGCGCCCAGCCGGCCCCATGGGAGCGCCCGGCCGAGCCAGGGGCCGTGGGCCCGGCTCCGATTTTCTGGTGCTCACTGGCAGGTGGAGCCAATTAGGCTGGGAGCGAGCAGAAAATCCAGGGAAATCGGAGCAGGGAGAGGGGGAAAGCGGTGGGGGAGGGCAGCGAGGGGGAAGGGCGAGCAGGGAGGGAGATGCTGAAGAGTGGGTGAGGAGGAGAAGGAGGAGGAAGAAAGCCAGGCCCGGCTGCAGGCACCGGGATGCTCCTGGGAAAAGCACATTAATTAAGCGGTGATCCCCGCGGAGGCTGGAGCGCCGCGGGCCGGCAGCCCGCTGGGCACCGCAGGGTGCTGCGCCCCGGCCGTGCGTGGCAGGTGGCCACGCGAGGGGACCCCTTGGGAGCCCGGGCGCCTTTCATCTGCCTCCACAGGGCCGGCTCCTCCCTCGCGGCGGCTGCAAAGCAGCCCTGAATGTCAGGAATTTGTCGCTATGCGCTGGGAAATCTCGCTCCCCACCAGCTGTTGGGGGCGCCGGAGGGGCCGCC